CGCCAACATGCGAGGGGAAAATGAAAGCATTAAAAACAAAACATGTGAAACATATTGAACAATGCACTATAACGCTGGCGTTGCCAAGTCGCATTGCCTTTGGGGTGTCCCCGTTTTGGGCGAATTATAAGTTGAACATAGAACGGGCTTGATTTAGAATGTGCAGGTCTGACAGTCTGAGAAGAGCCCGCTGCAAAGCAAACAAGATTTATGACGATTAGTAATTAGTATGTTTCATGCATAAAGAGTTTCAAAAAAGTCAAGTTTCCCTAAAGATCTAGGAACCAAATCATTAGAGTAATGCGAGCTTCCTTGAGGAAGCGTGAGCTATCCTGCGTCCAAGCTACTAGCTACTTAAGCTACTAGCTACCTCTTCTACCAGCTACCTCTTCTACTAGCTACCTAGCTACTACTAGCTACCTCTACGGCCTACCCCCCCTTTTTATACAAAGAGACATCTCAGTAATCAACAAACATGCTCTAGGTGGACCCATCGGGCCGGGCCGAGAGACTAAGCGGGTACTGGTCGTCGTGTCCGGCGAATGAGCCCCAGCAGCATGGTATGAGCCTAAGTAACTCATATAGAGTCTATAGATCTGATAGCCTATCTCACTTCAGCCTGGCGCATTGCAAGAGATAGAGAGTAAAAGGAAGAGAGACGCTGTGTGGATATGTATATGTGGATGTGTGATGATGTGTGCATGTTGATGCGGGTGCATTGTTTCTAGTTATTGATGACATCTCATTTCGTTTAGCAACCAGCTCTTGCATCAAGGCTGCCTTGCATGTCAAAGCTTCACCAATGGCACACCATCAGGAGATTGACTCTTCAGGTACAACACGTACTGCGTGGCACTGGGTGGCATCGAGGCGGAAAGGCCTTCCGACTACCCCTTCATGGCAGTGAAGGTCAGTAACACCAAAGCTGTGTGGCGGGAGAGGGTTGAAGGGGACGGCCTGTGAAACACAAATGTCAAAAAATAACAAAAAGTAATTCTCTCTCTCCATATATATATATATATACACACTTGCAAAACTCCTGCAGAGTCTCCTCATCGCAGCTTCGCCTTTTAATATCATCCATTCTAAATATTGCCAGTGATGCTGGGAATGCAGACCCAACACGGCATAAAATCATCTTACAAAAGCCATCATCATGCGAAGAGGAGCCATTGACGGGAACTTGTCAAGCTGAGGCAGCTGCCAACAGTGCATGAACATCACCGCAAGAACTGTACATTCTCAGGAACGAAAGCAATAGATGGTCCAGACGAAAACAAAGTAACGTTGGAGTACCAGCAAAAAAACATGCAAATTGTGTATCAACTTTGACATCATTGAGGCCCTCCAGTGTCGCAACGATCTGACAAGTTCATCCTTCCCTTCATTTCAGCTTCGCCTTTTAAGATCATCCCGGCGGTGCCTTGTCATACAGAAAGTATCATCATGCGAAGGGAGATGCATTGGTAGAAGGTTTCAAACAACTTTGCAGAAGGTGGGCCTGCCACCCATGACCTACTGCATGATACATCAAATCGAGCGTGACCAGAAGCAGTAAGAAAAACGAGACCAGCAAGTATGATTTTTAGTGTGACTTCTACATGCGTGATCGACGATGCGAGTGAAATGGCATCTAGGGAATCGCTGCAGTCGACATTCACATGTATATATACATATATAATCATATATACACATGAGTGGCGGACAAAACTTCTTTGTGTCCCCAATGCCTTAAAAGTACTTTGGGTTGGCCCCTATCAGTTTCCAGTGTTGTGGAATGCAGGCAATGCGCTACTTTCAATCAAGAGAGGGTATTGGTATAGGGCTGGCCCCTATCGGCTTTGCAAAGGTGTGATCAACTCAGAAGTACTTAAAGGGGGCTCCTGACTCGGACTGACCGCTTTCATCCCCATTTTTTGAAAGCCACTTTTAGGGGAGTAGTGGCGGGGTAGTGATGTTCACAGCCATTGTGAAGTGCGGCGTGTATGACAATGTTTGGCATTGGCTGGCCACCCTATACACACCTGAGAAACGGGTGGCGAAAGCCAGCTGCCGCTTCATTGCGTGGGTCCCTGTACGTGGGTCCCTGTCTCCACCCGAGTCCTCTATGCCCATTGTCCAATTAGTCTCCAAAACCCTTCATGATGCTAATGATGCACTACTCGGCAAAAAACGTTCCGCTCAGCGACCACCCCACCCCCACACCCCCTTAACTCAGGTCGTTCGCTCTAAAAGCTCAAGCCTTCAGAGCTTCCCTTCGTATCACATTGCGAGTGGGCCTCGAGGCCCACAAGGCACGCTTTCAAAGCGTCGTACCAGAAATGTTGCCATGCATGTTGCATGGATCTGCAGGCACACCGCCAGAATACCTTTTTTCAACAGAACGCACGCAACACAGCCAATCAACCACACAGTAGGTCATGCAACACGCCAAGCAGTACATTGCAACCCATGCGCTAGATCTCAGCTTCGCCTTTTAATATCATCCATTCTAAATATTGCCAGTGATGCTGGGAATGCAAACCCAACACGGCATAAAATCATCTTACAAAAGCAATCATCATGCAAGGAGAGGTGATCAAACAACAACTGCCAGGTCATTTCATGCAATACGTCGTCAAACTGGACAGTACGAGCAGAAGTCAAGGCTCATATTGTTGATTCTTGATTAGTGACCCCCCCAGATTGATGTCTGCACCGTTTTTTTTTTTTTTTTCGATTGATAACCCCCGTCTGATTAATGTCTGCACCGATTTTTTTGTTTTTGCTTGTTTTCCTTGTTTTCTATGTGTCTAATCGTTTTTGTCTGCACAGTTGAGATGTAATTCTATCTGATTAACGTTTCCTGCAATAATGTCTATGGTGTTCATTGTTAACTAAACGCTGTTTGTATTCCTAAGTATTCCAATAATGTAATCACCTTCAATAATGAAATCCCCTACAATAATGTAATCCCTTAATTCAAAATAATCATGTTTAGAAGAGCAATGCAAATAAATAATCATTCTTCAAAGGAAATAGAAGGATATATTCGTTTTTTTTTAAAGGAACTGCACACCTTATGTCTGAAGTCTTGGGATGGTTCATGGGGTCTGCAGTTTTGTTTTTTGGTTTTTTCCAGAACCTCGAGAAACCAAAAAACAAAACACAAAAAATAAAAAACAATATTCAGAGAGTCTTGGCTGGAACCCCCCCCCCCTCTGGAGAGTCTGGAAATATTGTGTGTTTTTTGTGTGTGTTTTTCGATGTTTTTGGCTCCCCTCTTTAAAATGATTCATTCCTTCCATATGTCATGTTCCCTTTTATGAACCCCTTTCAACCTGCAATTTGTATAATGTCCTTCAATGTTCCTTTTAAATATGAGTATATAATTGTGTTCATTGTCCCTTTAAAATTGATTAATACCTATATTTTGTTCTTAAGAAATGATTATTCATCCTTTGCAAATGATTTTCATGTTTCCCTTTAAAATCTAAGCCTATTGCTCATGAAAAGAACGTGAAAAACTGCACTCCCAGGAGCTGCCGTTCTGCTTGATTTCTATTGGTTTCCTTTTGGATTCCTTTTGAAACCTATTGATTACCTTTGAACGTGTGTAATTAATTTATTTAACTACCATTATTAAATCTATTAAAATATTGCAACAATCTATTCCACAAAGAGGGTAGCCCAGTACACTGGAAATCTTGATTAATATCACCCCCTCCCATAATGGCTCCGCTTTTCTGTCTAAATTTATATTATATTTTGTTGATTCCGTTTTGATTTACAAAGTTCTATTGATTTCCTATTGAACTCCTTTTGATCTCTATTAATTACCCTTGACAGTGTGACATTATTTGTGTTAATCCGTTTATCAAATCGTAAACATATTGCAAAAATACATTCCACAAAGAGGGTAGCCCAGTACGATAGAAATCTTGATTAAGATAATGTCTACGCTTTTTCTTTTCAGTTGTTGAATATTCATTATGTTGATTCCTGTTTGACTTACTTTAAAACCCTTGTGATTTCTATTGATGTCATTTTGCATGTGTCATTAATTTCTTTAACCTACCGTATCAAATGTTTGGATATATATATATATTATATTGCAACAATCTATTCCACAAAGAGGGTAGCCCAGTACAAGTACACTAAAAGTTGTGATTAATATCAGCCCCTACAATCATTGCTACGCGTTTTCTGTTTATTTAGTCTATTTTGTCTATGTTATTCCTTTTTGATTTACGTAAAACCCGTTTGATTCCTTTTGATTTCCTTTTGATTCCTGTTGATTTCCTTTTGATTCCTGTTGATTTCCTTTTGATTCCTTTTGACTTCCTTTTATTCCCTTTGTTGATTTCCCCTTGATTTTTCCAGAATCAACATGGATTCGACTAGGGCGGGGATTCACACCAATCAAGAGTCAACATCAGTCAGTTTGCCTTGGATAGAAAGCACCAAGCACTGCAAGATAAATCCAAACAGGCAGAAATTGTTTGGCATGAAGTTGGGGATTCTCAGGCCCTGTTCAATGTCCTCTTCGTCCTCCTCACGCTTGGCTTTCAGCCACTCTGCATCCTTGGGCTGCAATACACAGTGTGTAGTGGAACTGCAACGCACAATGTATGGGAACTTCACGAAAACAAAGCAAGAACTAATTTGTATTCATTTGAACAGCTCACCATCCCAACATATCCCCAACATGCGTTGGCTTCTGAACCTTTGGTGAATTGAGGCTTTGGACCTTGGGACCCTTCACCTTGGCCTTGTATCTGGGCATCGGTGCATAGGGATTGAGATCCCCTGGATCGAGGCCTCCAAGGCTGCTATGTTGGTTAGAACGGTTGGAATCTTTCTGGAATCTATAGGACAGGATTGATGCTGTGATGTCTTTCACAGACACTCATACGAATGTCAGTGCAAAATGAATCAGGCAGGCCGAATGAACTCAGACAGTTGACATCAGAAAGAGGCTCTTGAGGCTGACATCCGGTCATCTTTTTCTTCTTCCGCATTTAGTCTGGCCCATTCACCAAGACATAGCAAGACCCATCAAAGTCCAATTTGCCTTCCTCCACCAATTGAGCCAAAAAGTCTCGCAGTTGCTTTTCACTCAAGGTGTAGGCAGGCTCCATCATGAAGCGCTGCAAGAAGTTGTGAATCCGTGCAAGCGGAAGCGCTGAGTAGTTCTTCAGCATACCCTGGACAAATGGCTCGCAGGCCCGAAGCTCCTGTCGGCGACCTGGAGGTGGGCCAGGTGAATTCTCCTCGTCATCCATGTGGCCTGCAGCACCAGAAGTCACACTTGTTCGAGACTTGATGTTTGAGGTTGCTGGATGCTAATCTTCTTAGATGGTCTTAGATGTGAACTTAGTCCGCAAACTCGTCAACTGTCGTCGAAACCGCATTAAGACCATGTTGACACATGTTGACGTATGTTGACCAATGTTTGCCGTGCTTTCGGCCTGATTGGATGTCTTCTGGAGCAGACTCTTGGAGCTCATAGAGGTTTGCACTGACCTCTTTCAGTACACCCTTCGCCACCCAAAAAGCCACGCGCTTTCGCACAAGCACCTCGGGCAGCTCCAGCTGCGACATTAACTCCTCGAGGCTAAGCCTCGTTGGACTACCTTTGGCCTCAGAGAAGCATGCCAACACGGCATAGTGGATTGGTGTAACCTTAGCAGGCAGCGTTCTCCGAATGGATCATGTTTGTCAAAGCTGCAAAAACGTGATAACACGTATAAAGGCTCATCATCTCTTGTGACCAAGCAACTGTTACATTCAGACTCCGGTCAGCAAACTGCACTGTGATCTCCACCAAGCCATGCGAACGCTTCCATTGGACCGCTCTGTTGGATTTAGTTTTGCCATATGCCAGGCTGTAGTCCGCCAAGGCATTCTCCAAAGGAGCTGGCAATCGAAACCGTGGAAGATCAACTTTGCTGAGTGCAGAGGGCCAGTAGTGCTGAGAGAGCACAAGGGGATGCATTTGACCTAAGCTCAGTGGTCCAGTTTGGTCCGCATCCTTTTCCTTCTGTTGAATGTTACTGTTGATGCGCTTTGAGTCCTTGATGTCCTGCAGCATGACCTCGCAATGCGTGAGGGCAGCATCCCCAAACCTGGTTTTCAGGAGCTCAAGGTTTTGAGTTTCTCGCTCTGTACTGTAGGTAGGATTGCCCAGTAGGCGGTCTGCCAGCATCTCCTTGTACTCCTTGATGAACATCTCCTTTCGAGTGTTCCAACTCAAACACTCTTTCTTGACTAGCTTTACGATCCAGTCTAGTCTATTTATAAAGTGAAATATCGAGTCTCAGTCCACCTTGCTTCAAACAGGTGCAATCCACTGTCCTTCGAGCCGTAGATACCTACCAGTAATGACACAACATCGGCCTTCCGCCTCAGTGGCTGCGAATCCGCATCAATAGGGTCAGGAAGCCACGCATCTGGATCCTCTTCATCATCACCTTAGATTCAACATCGAAACGCAGGACTCCCCACGAAAAGGAGATTTGACTGGTATCAGGAATCCTTGTTATTGTCAGGTCACTGGCTTCAAAGTCTTCGCCAGCCAAGTCCGGCGGCTCATGTGGCGCCTGTCCCGCCTGGAGTTTTGCCTTCGAAGCTTCCTCAGCTCCCAATTGAAGCTCTTCTTGTAAGTCCGAATCTTCTGTGAGAGCAGTGATGATGCATCGGACAGTGTCTTTCCTTTTCTTTAAATACTCCCTGATTGGAGTTGAAACTCCCTCCAGCAGCAAACCCCTGGGATCTACCAAACGTAGAGCCTTGATGGTTTTGATGTACACTTTGATCACATCACGCGTGTGAGCACCAGCGATCAGCAGCCGCTTGCCAATCTGCTCTCGTAGCGCAATGACCAGTGGTGAGAATCGTCCCGTGCGAGCCAAACAACGCCTCAAGTCCAACAGCGCAGGTGCGGAGTCTGGAAAGTCACGGACCATGTCGAAAGCTTCACCCAGTCGAACTTCCAAAAATGCTTCAAAAAAACGAAGCAACGCGCCCCGCGCCAGAAGCAACCAGGACTCCTCCTGAGCGTTAGCCTGGCTTGGTGCCCAAAGAGGTAATCCAAAGATACCGCGGAGCCAGCGGAGCATGGCGCTGTAGAAAAGTCGTATGAGACGATCCAAGAGGTTTTCTTGGTATTCTGAGCGACACCGCTCTTCAAGCAGCTGGGCTACTTTTGCTGTGAAGAAGCTTTTTGCAAGGTCCACCCAAGGTGCTTGGAGACCCAAAGAGTGCATGGCCTTAGACACCATGCTCAAGCCAGTCAGGTCATTCTCCATGTCTTCATCCACGTCCTCAGCTTCCGCTTCTTCTTCTTCTTCAGCAAGGCCCATGACCACATCTTCATCGATAGAAGTGGCTGGAATCTTGTCTGCTTGCCTTTCCACGCCGAGATTGCCGGGATGATCTTCTCTTGATTCCAGCAGGGCTAGAACACGAGGCACCGGCCCAATGAGCCCAGCACACCACCACTCTGTCTGGGATTGATCGGGTGCACCACGGAAGGATTGATCCCAGGTCTTCTGGAAATAGTCTTTCAAGTTCTCGGCCACTTGCAACGGCCAGGTCGAAGTGAAGGCCACACGAAATGCCACACGGTGAGCGGAAATCAAGCGAGCCTCAGAAGATGGGCTGATGGTTCGCAACAAAGCTTCATGCGCTGAAAGAAGTTTCTGGAGCCTGTTTAATGCTGCCTGCCATTGTCGGCCGCTGCAGCCAGTAACATGCTGCCAGAAGGTCTCACAAGTTATGCTTAATGAAGACTCGAGAAGGTCCTCAGCCAGATCCAAGAGCTCGTCATTTTGGATCTCCGGGACATCAGCTGAAGTCTGGAAACTGGGCTCGAACTCGCCTTGAAAGGAACTCGAGGAATTCAGTTCCGACTGAAAGGATTCTCTGATATTATCCACTGCGCTCTGCAGCTGATTGATTTTCTCCCAATCCGGGTCCATGGGTCCATGGGTACGTGGCCCCTTCGGAATGCCCGCAGCCAGAAGGACTTGGTTGTGTTTCAATCTTTGGAGCGCTACTGGCGCTACTCGTTTGACTGAGTGTGATATGACAGCCTGGCCCATGAATGTTCTGTCTTTACCAACTACCTCTGGCTTGAATGCGCCCACTTCACCCAATCTGGTGCTGGCAGCATGCGGAAGTGTGAGTGGATCAAGCTCCTCTGCAAATCCGGAACCCGAGAAATCATAATACTATTGAAAAAGTATAGATATAAATATATATGTAATGTGAGTAGAGACAGAGAGAGAAGAGTGCAGTATAGTGATTATGTAGGTTTAGAATGGTATAGATATGTAATGGAATAGTCCGTGAACAATGTCTTTGATATTTCTAGGTTTTTCTGATGCCATAGGCACTTTTTATGAAGCAGTGGACCTGCGATGGGCTTTATCACCAAGCACCCTCCTGAGCGCAAGCTTGGAATCCGTTCTTGGCAAAAGCACGGGGTAGAGGATCTGGTAGAGGATCTACAATGTACAAATCAAACAACTCGATTGGTTTCGGAGCAGCCCATGTCTAAGATCGAATCTCAATCCAAAGGCGACATCCAGAAGGAAGAAGGCTAGCTCTTCCATGAGGTCATTTGATATCCTTTTCCGGATTCATAAGAAGATATCAGTTAGCACAGTACGATGTCACTTGATTCAAAGTGGCCGTCCTCCACAGAAGTTGTTGGAAGACTCGATGATTGGCCCTAGATCTGAGGCCTCCTCGATTGGTGGGATGTGCTGGTATGACGATTGGGTGAAGGGGACTCCCAACTGGCAAGTGGTCTCCGTCGTCCTTTTTGTGCACATGTTCAGAATTGTCACAGCTGTCATTTGTTTAATAACACAGAAAGAGGACGGGGGTGCAGTGATGGTCAATAGTAAGCTTGAAACATCCAAAGTGAGCAACATTTCAATGCTCCATAGTCGGAGAATTTGCTCGCTACAGTATCGCGTGCTGGTCAACTGAATGCAGATTCAGCTCAGATGTTCAATACAAACAACAAAAACTGCGAATGTTCTCTCGCTAGTAGGCCAATTGAAACTGTTTGCAAATCGCTATCAACAAGGCAGCCTGAACTGCATTCATCCGCAGAATTGCCAATGGCCAATGTTGACTCTTTCTTTTCCCTGACCAAGCCCGTCGCCCGTCCTCAATTTGTGGTGACCCCTCACCCTCCTTTCCATCAGCATAGCACTTTGACACATCCTGAAGTCGATTGAGGAAGGACCCAGTGAAATGGTCAAAGAGGCTCCTAGAGTCCTAGAGGCTCCGTTGTTTCATTCTTTCTGTTGCTTAAAGAAATATACCGGCTTGGGCCCCAAATAGTTTCGGCACATATTTTGCCTCAGTTCCCATTCAGTTCCTGTAGTCTCCAGCTGTTTGAGAACAGCATGTACACAAAACAACGATTTTGGGGGGAACGAGATGATCTGAAATTCAAAAACTCGGCGTCACTGTTGCATTCATAGCAAAAAACTAACTCGGTCAAGGCCGTGGAGAAAGGGAAAACAGCGTGGCCAAGCGGGGGACAAGACCCGGACAAGGCGGTCATAAGAAGGCCAACAACGTGGACAAGCAGGACACAAAGATCCCGACAAGGCCCGGACAAAGCAAAGCAGACAGGCACCTGGACAAAGCCTGGACAAGACGACAAAGAGCAGAAAACACTGCGGCCAAGCAGGACAGCTGTCGTGGCCAGCCATTGTTTCAATTAAAGAACCCCAACAGTAAATGGTTTCCTCAAGCAGCCCAAAGAAAGGAATGGCATGGTGCCTGACAGAAGTGAGAAATCATCCAGCGAAGGAACTACATCGAACGAGGCAACTGGCATGCATGCAAAGCCGTAAAAAAGTATTCAGAAGTTAGCCAATGTGCGTCTCAAGCGAAAATAGCAGGCAACGGAGACCTCCATTCAAGTTATATATATATATACACCAATCATTTCCGGGACGCTGGGATCCGTTTAGGAAGGCAACTTGTTGCAAATGTGTTTGTCACTCAACATCTTGGATGGGGCGCATGCCAGCTCATCATGTCAGCCCAGCACGATCCAAAACAGAGTCTAGAATCTAGAAAGTATTCCAAACCACATTCGATTCAACAAACTGGAAACAAGTAAAAGTTTAAACTTTCAGTGAAACTGTTCGGAGAATAAGACGTCGCGGGTCACAATCTTCAACCACAGCACAGTGTACATGTCCTCGATGTCAAAGGCAATTTGTTCCAGCAAGCTTCTGGGGCTTGCCTGTACACATCGTGAGCTTTTCAGTCAAAATGCTCCGCGCGGTTCTCCATCTTCAATGGCTCAGTGCAAAACTACACCTTGCCCTGTGGCCTTGTTGCTGTTCTCCCAAAGCAAATCATCAACAAAGACTCCGACTGAATGGGGAATGTCAAGGGCTTCTACACTGTGTCCTGAAAGGGTACGTAGAATGTATACTGCACAGTATGTGAAAAACATCGAACCGTTCGTAAGGCAACGCAAGAGTACCCTCCGGTCTCGTTCGCATTTTTTGTAGGTGGCGCGGCGAAGGGACGCCATTCCCACTGATCGCAATTTTGGGTCATAGTATGTCGACATTGCAAATTTGTGTTCAGTAACTAAAAGGCTTGTCAGCTCTTTTTAATTGCGTAGTTCATCACATTCAATTTGTTCGATGGGTTGGCCTTTTTGTGCCCCCTCTACGAGCAAGAGGGGTCGTGGCCAGTAGCTTGAACGACTGGAAGCCACGTCCGGTGGGACATTTGCCCTCGCGAGACTTCAACTGGGTGGGAGATCTTATGGTACGCAACACCATGCCCGAATCACGAGATCCAAGTGAGAGTCAATTTTTTGAAGGATCAATGGGAAACAATTGGCAGCATGATGGGTCTGCTGCATGTTCCTCCCCCGAGTATGCCACTGGCCGCCTCCACAAGAGCAGGAACTGCCGGGTTTCTCTAAGAATCAGGACTTGCTTTCCAAGACTGAACTCACTAAACTAAACGTTCTGTCAACCAACTTTCCACTCCTGAAACTGCTCATCGTCTAGGTCTAAGTCCATAATTTTGGAGTGGTGTAAAATGCTGTGACTATGACATCTGAGATTGAAGACTCCGAAATGTGCAAAAAGACATATACTCTTAAAAGAAAGGGACAAGGTCCCTTTCATAGAGCCCTGCCAATCTTTTCTGTTTTCTCTTTTTCCTTTTTCAAGTTGTGCTGTATATTATAAGTATGCAATCCAAAGGTGCTCTCCCACCTGCATTCAAAGAACATCAAAGAACCACTGGTCTCAAGCTGATGTCCGCAACTCTGGTCATCTAAGGACTCTGGGCTTCCAGTGTGAATTGAGACAGTGCTCAATTCGTTCAAGGTAGCCATGGTATATTGGCTTGCTTGTTCCGCACCAATGGTTCTGCATGCCTCAACAGCTCACCGGCCGTTTCTCATCAGGGGGTCCACCTTCTTCAAAATCAAAGTTGACCTATCCCTGGATGACAAGGGTAAATTGCAAGCATAAGTGGTTCTCCTTCAACAAGTGAATTCATTATACAGTATAAGTCTGTGTCCGGGGTCGAGCCTGCTTCTTTGTCTTGCAATGTCAAACAGTGCTGCGGTTCAAACCTCCAACATTTCATAGCCTGCTGCTGGCTAACACAAATTCTCTCCAGTATGGAAAGCCCACAGTGACCCTTTGCCGTAAGTATAACCGTTGGTGACATGCAATCACAGTACCCACGCCCGCACAGACGCGAATGTCGACAAGGAAGGGCGAAATGAATGAAATGTGTCGGTATTGTCAGTCTGCTAAAGATATTGTAAGCAAAATGATGTTTGTACGTTATTGGGGGCTCCTCAGTTGTTCCTTAAAGCCGACATCAAGGTGGTATTTACCTGGTAGCTTATGTAGAGATCCATGATTCTTGGCGCTCCAAAGCGATGTCCGCTCACTGACATTCTTATCGTCCCTTCGCAGCCGTGCACGCTAGGGGGGTCGGCTTGGCCGAGTCGTGCAGAGGTGAAGGATCCCATGCACACTTGACAAGATCGTGCAACGTGTGGAAAGTACGAATGACTTGTTACTACTAGTAAGGCACCTGTTACTACTAGTAAGGCACTTGTTTCTACTAGCTTCTTGTTAC